TTGCTGCCATACTTGCGATCCATGATGACGCGGTCAACTTCCTGATGACCATCCATAGATGGAGGATATTGCGATCATCAGCCCGGGAAGTCGTTGCTCTTAGCTGGTGTATATGTCGCCAGCTTCGAGGTGTGAAAGACTGAATGAACCGTTAGATGCCGGGGGATGTTGATCGCAAATGAGGGGTCATCGGACTCATCGCCCACGGCTGATGTTACGGGTCATGGCCCAAACCACTTGGGGAGTAGCTTCCGCGAAACATCATGCTCGAGTGCAAACTCTTCCGCGGAGATCCAAACCAGATCCCCGGCGCGGATAAGACATGGTACGAGACGCCTGCTGGCTTGCTGCTACATGCGAACTTGACCCTTTTGCATGTTCACGCGGGCTTGGGCCAACAATTCCCTGTACTTCTGGATGGAAGTGGGGGAGCAAGCAGGGTCTATGTCGGTTGTTCGTGGGAGGAGAAGATCGACGAAGATACGGTCTTTCCGGCCACCGTGGTGCAACTCGAATGGAGTCACGCCGATCGTTGGATGCCACAAAGTGTTGTAGGCGAACTCGATGTTGGGGAGGCCGTCAACCCAATCCTTCTGCTCCGGACGGATGAGCGTACGAAGCATCATTTGATCGTTTTGAACACAGGATTCCTGAAAACCATACAAAACCACAAAACGCAACATTTTGTATAGAGTGAAAAAATAGAACTCAAACTTCTATTTCTGGTTTGAAAAAATGATACATATTGGACCACTTTCCAAAAGGCAAAGCCAAAAATTAGGCAAACAGTCGAGCGATCCTCAAAATGTGGAGGAAAACTCTTGCTCGCAAAGATCCTGTTATAAGACTATAAGTCATTTTCAATAGATTGGCAAAAAATCGGAGCTCCAATAAAACAAACTCGAAAGTTGTAAAAAAACAGTTTTAGTGAATTCTGACATATAGGGCTATATGTCGTTTCCAACATTTTACAGACTCTATAGAGCAATTTTGAAGTTAACAATAAAATCCTTGCCAAAAAATATATGTTATGTAAAATAATTGCACAAACAACTTTTATCTCGGACAGTGAATCCCCCTCGACGGCGGCCAAGTGCAGTCGAATCCGCGGACGGGGCCAGTCCGCCGACCCCGCGGACACGTACTCACGGCTTTGCTGCCACGCTATGTAACACCCTCGGTGGCGGACAGGCGCGGCTAAGTCCGCGGCCGCGGCCGAGTCCGCGACCCCGCGGATGCGTCCGCGCATCTTTGCGGACGCGTGGCGGCCGCTGGGGAAGGGGGTTTAGGAATCCGGAAGCGCCACGTGGCGGCGCAACCCCAGCCCCACCCCATCAGGCAAAAAAAAACGAAAAAAATCAAATTTTTGGTTGGGGGGGTAAGGGCGAAACTTGAAAAAAAAAAAAAAAA